GTAATAGGTGACTAAATAACCATCTTTAGCCACAAAAAATGTTGATAAATGAAACTATAGTCACTATTAAGAGAAAATCTAAGGATAAAATTGCGATTATTAATTTGTTCTTTTAACTCAATTTTAAAAGAAACATTTGACTTAAAATTAATTTGATTTTTTAGTTGCAATATTTCAAATATTATAATTGAGTTTATAAAAAAAATTATTTTTTATTATTTAATATAATATTATTTGAATTTTTTTATATTATTCCTAAGATTACGTTATCTAGCTTGTAATAGTATTTACCATGCAATGTTTGTCACATTGTCATCACATAAAAATCTTTGTTTTAGATCAGATGCATATCTGAAATGAGCTAATGTGGGTTCAAACTCTTTACGGAGTTAAGAAAAATGTGAGAAATTGAAAAGTTATTGGTTCATTGTTGCAAAGGAGTTATAACTTTATTACCATTTCTTGATATAGGAGAGTCTATTGCATAGCTATAAGCATTTAGTTATTTATTAATTTATATAATATTTTATACACATTAGTTCACAATAATATGTAATAATCAAATACACAATTTTTCTAGTCTTTGATTCCGTTCAAATGGTTTTTTTTTCTCAGTCATACTTCTTGAGAGAATATTTAAGTACTCTAAATCCTCTAATAAATAACCTTCCATGCATAAACAAAACTCTTTTGATGGACGATTAACATAAAGCTTTATGTATTAATAGGTGTTTATCATAATATTAAGAAGACTTTTTAGTTTTTACCTGTGATCGACATTAACTAAAATTTCTCCATCCTCTCTTTAGATTTAAGATTCTCTTCAAAAGGTTTTTACAGCCACTTTTTTTCGATGTTCATTTATGCTTAGGTTCCTGTACTTAAGATTACTTAATCTACTTTTAATGTCTCTTCTTCCTCTCTCTCTCTCTCTCTCTTCTCTGTCTCACTCACGGGAGATTCGATCTTGGGTTCATGTGAATGCTACTTTCTTGGGTTCAGTGCAACGAAATTGAAAGGTAGCACGAAGGAGGAACATTCATGGTAAATAATGAAGACAAGGACCACGCCACATGCTACTGTTTTGGAATTGTTATTTAGCCTGGAATGGGCATCTCTTATAGATTTAAACTTGTTAATTCCAATGAACTGCTACTGCTGATCTACATGGCGAATGTTCGTTTTTATCCCAGAAATGCAATTTTAATGCGGGGTCATTACTGCAGCCGTTCAAGAAATAGGGCTCTGATAAGTCAAGTTTGGTCATTTTCTATGGAGTAATCTTTCATTGCAAAATGAATTTATATATAAAAAAAACCATGTCATTTATCATTCATTTTTGTTGGGTCACCTTTAATATAGGGTTTTTGTGAAACCAACATGGTAGATCAATGGACCTTTTTTAGGCTTCATTTGGGATGACTTTATTATTGCTTTTTAAAATTGAATTTTATTTTGAAAATTAAAATTTTTGTATTTAAATTCTGCTTTAAGAAGAAGTAAAAAAAGTTGTTTCAAACGAAGCCTCAGTCTCAATTGACATGTCAGACGTTGCCCGTAGTGATGAAAGATGTGAATGATCATAGCAAAGTATATTTTAGAGAAACTTCATAGTTAAAACCTAAATTTTGACTGTTCAAGAAACTAAAGCCCGTCACCCTTTATTCATGAATTTACCAATAAACACTATAGGAAAATCGCTTATTACCGGCAGATTTTCCGCATAAATTTTTTTCATTTTCTGGTGGATTTGGAAGTTTCCGACAAACTTCTGACGGAAATTCTTTTCGACGATAAATCGAGTGTCAGAAAAATCTTCCGACGAAAAAAATACGCCGAACGGAATAAATAAAATTCATTAAAAAAATACTGCCGGCTAAAGCCTTTGAATTTTGCTAGTGAATATTTAAATATCAAAATACTTATCCACCTCAGGTTTGCTTTACAACTTGGATCTTCGATTGTTCTTCATCCTTTGAATTTTGCTAGTGAATATTCTTACACCCCTCTTCCTTTGTTAATAGGACCACCCCATGTTTCAAAATAGAATTTTCTTTTTATATAATTTTGGGTTGAATGAGGTCCTTTCGAACAAAAATAAATAAATTGAAAAATCGTTACATTAAATTGGCATACTTTGTAAGAAATAAGATGACATCTAGGATGAACTAATGCCTTAGGATGGACATCGCGACATGATTGGCTAACATTAAGTTAAGTGGTAAGCTGACCTCTATTTTGAGCATATGCGATCTTTCTTGATTTCAAGACCTTTCAATCCTATTTATTTGGCTTAATGATCCACTATAAGTGTAGATTTCAAAACAAATACAATTAAAAGCTACTAGGGTATCATTTTATTTACCAAATTCTTATAAGATTTTATCCTTTGGCAGCTAAATGCTTGGGATGTGATTCCCTAGGATCTAATGGAAGGATTAGAAATCATAATCCTGTAGTTATAGGTCAAACCATTATTAGAGACAACCAGAGCTACTATAAAATTCAAATTAAAAAAACAAATAACTCAATGTATCTCATTTCATTAAAATATATGTACCTTAGTCCAGCTCAAGAAGTTCTTCGCATAATAATAATTAAACATTGGATTTTAAAATAATACTTGTTTCACTAAAAGTATGCTTCTACCCTTTTTGTAATATACTAGACATTTTAATTTTCTTGAAATATCAAAAATTATCGTAGGATGGGCATAACAAATTTGGTAGACCTCTCTCCCAACCATCATAATATCAATAGTAGTTAATTATTTAAATAAATACAATGATGTGTAAATAATAAATAAATTAATAATAAAATCTGACTTATGATTTTAAAACCCGATTTGCACCTTTCAAGTCACTTTCTCAGAGGGTTCAGACGCATTATAGAACACTTATTATCAGAGGTTCACTTGTACTTAACTTTCATATTTGATCAGGGTTCATTCAAAATATTTCTTATACTAAACTTATTGAAGTATTAACATATGTAAGAAAAGATTAAAATGCACATGTTATGATACATACTTATAACTCCACTTTCACTTATACCTCTATTCAACCTACCACCTCCTTAGGGCGTTTCTAGGGTTTTGCTTGCTCCCTCCCTCTCTGTGCTTTTCTGAAGGGGTTTTTTGGGTGATCATTTTTCTCTCGTCTCTGCTGGTGTTCAAGCTGGTTTTCGGCCCTTTAGGGCCTCGCTGCGATGGAGGGGGGTTCCTCCTCAACTCCTTGGAGATATGTCGCCTCTCAGACTCAAGATTCGAACAAAGGCTTCTTCAACTTGGATTCAGAGGTTCCTTCTCCTACTAAATCTAGATCTTTTAAAGACGTTCTTTCTGGATCAGCAGATGATATCTTACCTTCTCTTACTCAAACTACTTTTAATGGAGTGCCGGCTATCTTGATCTCTGATGATGAAGTTTTAAAACTTGCGTCCCCCTTTCATTTTACTCCGGTTGGTAAGTTCTGCTTCCGGCGTCCTAATCTTGATGTGATTCGAGCTTTCTTCATCAATCTTAAGCTTATGGGTTTTTTTCTATTGGTTTCCTGGATTCTAAACATGTTGCTATACAACTTTTAAATGATTTGGACTATAGTTATGCTTTTGCCCGTAGATCTTATTTCATACTTAAATGTCAAATGTGAATTTTGAAGTTGACGCCATTCTTTAATGTCAAAGAAGAATCTCCGATAGTGCCTATCTGGATTTCTTTTCCGAATCTCAGACTTCATTTTTTTAATTATGAAGTCTTACATGCTCTTGGTTTGATATTTGGTCGGCCCATATAAACGGATCAAGCTACTGCCTCTGGAACCAGGTCGTTGGTGGCTCAGGTTTTAGTCGAAGTTGACATTACTAAGAAGCATGAAAAGGATGTCTGGGTTGGATATAAAACTTTTGGTTATTTACAAAAGGTAGAATTTGAAAATGTACCTGAATTTTGTAACCACTATAAATCCCACAGTCATGCGATGTCAAAATGCTTTAAACTTCATCCGGAGCTTAAGAAAGTTTCCAACAACAACACTGGAATGGTTGGAAATACGGCTGTCGTGAACGAAAAAGCTGAGTTCATGACTCCTGTAACTCAGGGTGAAAACCATTCCAATGTTGAGAGGGTTGGAAATGATCCTATCATAGCCTCAAATAATATA